TCAATCCCTGCTGATATCCACATAAGCAGGCCGCCAGCCATGCCCACCAATTCTTTCTCAGCCAAATACACCTCCTGTGAAAGGCTTATCCAAACTCTCCAAGCAATTGTTTCAGCCTCTAAGCTCTCAGCAACTTCTTTTTATCACATAAGCACTATCTATAATTGTTAAGTAATAGCCTGTGAATCCTTGGTGGACAGAGGCAGGTACTTAGCAATAGCTATGACATTTTGCATGAATGAGTGATTTCTTCTTTGTCCACATACTCATGATTTCCTTCAAGAGAGCTAACTCGTTAGGGATGATTTCTTTGTGCAAGTATCTAATGGCCTTGGCTTACGTGTTTTGTGATCCCAGACCTTAATAAGAATTTGCCTAGTACGGAAACCTTTTTTTCAAAGTACCCTCATGACTTCTTAAGGAAGGTAATCATTTTATGAAATGTGCAACACAATGTCTATATAAAAAAAGTTATTCAGTAATTATATTTCATTCTTGGTTTTGTCCAGAGAATTTTGGGGAGAGTCAGATCTAGCTAGGTACTCATCAGTGTGGTCTAATAGCACTTATTGTCTACACCCCAAGTAGCTCTTAGCATATGGCACTTTGTATCATCCTTAATTTTAAATTAATCTAATAATCACTTTAATCACTAATCATGGCAGGTTGGACACTGGGGCTCACTACTGTGTATTCATAAAATCTCACCATAAGGGGATTAAATATAAAATAAACCACCAAGACAGCATGAACAGGAGAGGAGTGCACAGAGGTGCAGATTCTCACATAAACTTTCCCCTGGCCTTCTTGTCTTCAAGCCTTCCCTGCGCCTTGGCTGGAAAGTACATGGTGCTTTCAAGTTTGGAGCCTTGCCAGAGTTCCATAGCACAAATCGGCTTGCTTCCTATCATTTTTCTCTTACTGCCAGCTTGAGCTTTGGCCTTGCTTGGTTTTAATCAGCACCCATTATTCACATTTAACTGAAAGTCCTCTTCGTTGTTCAGGTTTCTGTGTGTCTGGTCTCCCCAAACTAGAGTGTGAACTCCAAGGAAACCACTGTTCAAGTGTTACTATACATTGTTGTATAGGACCTTCTAAACAGGTGTTCTACTTATGTTTATGGTTGATATTACAGGTTACCTTGAATAGTCAGCACAAGTACCCTTGAGGTTACATAAGACTTTGTGAGGGGCGCTTGGGTGGCTCAGTTAGTTAAGAATCTGACTTTGGTCCAGGTCATGATCTCGCGGTTCGTTGTTCGAGCCCCGCATCAGGCTCTGTGCTGACAGCTTGGAGCCTGGAGCCTGTTTCAGATTCTGTCTCCCTCTCTCTCTGCCCCTCCCCCACTTGTGCTCCGTATCTCTCTGTCTCAAAAATAAACTATAAAAAAAAAAAAAAAGAAAAAGGATTTGCCTGAGGGGGAAATTTTTAAAAAAAGACTTTTTGAGAATACTGGCAATTTCTAGGTCTTCAACTTCCACCTGTATCCCTTCCTAAAATTACTCTAACATCTGCAGCCCATGTATCATATTGGCTTTCCTTTCTCTTTTCCTCTTTAATGATACATTTTTATTCCCCCCCTCTCTAACACACACACACACACACCCACATCTAAATCTTTCTATGGCACAACTTACCCAAGGTATAAAAACCTGCAGGGTAGCATACAGGCATACAATTTGACATACTGCTTTGGGCCACATTCTTCCCATTAAGGTCCCATAATCCAAGGTATGGCAGTATGGTCACACGTATATATAATACTTTTTTTTTTCCTGTTGACAGCTCAGCTTGTTTTCAGAACACAGATATTTGACCCATGTCTGAATTTAGATATATTCTAGTGGGGAAAAGGAGGCAGTAGTGACAATTTAAAAAAAAAAATTTTTTTTTAACATTTATTTATTATTGAGAGACAGAGAAACAGCATAAGCAGGGGAGGGGCAGAGAGGGAGACACAGAATCTGAAGCAGGCTCCAGCCTCTGAGCAAACGTTCAGCACAGAGCCTGATGTGGGGCTCAAACTCATGAACCACGAGATCATGACCTGAGCCAAAGTGGGACGCTTAACCGACGGAGCCCCCAGGCACCCCTGGGGTGACAATTTTAAATGAAAGGCTTTGCCTCTTCCAACTGTTGTCAGAGAAAGCATTGCTCCCGAGAAGTCCTGTAGACGTAAAGCTACATGGGAAATGTTGACGGCAAGGACTCTCTTCCAGCTAATGGCAAGACTTCATGTCTTATCTAACTACCTTTGTACACTGTTAATCAAAATACATAAAATATAGGGGCGCCTGGGTGGCTTAGTCGGTTAAGCGTCCGACTTTCGCTTAGTCATGATCTCGTGGTTCGTGGGTTCGGGCCCCGCATCGGGCTCTGTGCTGACTGCCAGCTCAGAGCCTGGAGCCTGTTTCAGAGTCTGTGACTCCCTCTCTCTCTGACCCTCCCCTGCTCATGCTGTCTCTCTCTCTCTCTCCTAGAAATAAATAAAAAATTAAAAAAAAAAATACATAAAATATAGTAAGACAGCACCAAGATCCTGGATTCTAAACACCATTCTTCGATCAGAAACCAGGGCGGACCTCTCAGAGAAGTGGCTGGTTCCAAAGGTGGGTCGGGGACACCTGAACTGGAACATGAACCTGGGACATCTTGTGGGTCCAGAATGTAAGGAAATACAAAAAACAAACAAACAAACAATGCCAATTTGTTTAAAGTATAAAGGAGCCACCACGAATGAGCTCTCCTAATAGCCGAAGGTGGAATAATGTGAGCAACAAAAGAAACAATAGGATTACTGGATTTTAACTCACAGGACAAAATAAACATCTGAAGACACAGTATACAAAAATCAGTTAAATAAATGGCAGAGGTGCATCTCCCTCCTTGCTAGATGGAATGCTAATCAATTCATGAATTACTTAATAAAGCCAACTGGATCTTCAGAAAATTAAAAGATTAAAAAATGGGGGAGAAGAGACAGCAGCTCTCCCTTGGAGAGTTCCAGTTAGCATAGGAGAGAGGGAAATAGAAAAATCACCACTTGCAAAGCATCACAGTAATAACTGTAGATGGGACCCACCACAAGCAGTGGGTGAGTATGGAGCAGCTCTTTACTTGGTCTCAAAGCATCTCCCCCAAGATACCTGTTAACTAAAAAGGGAACTTGACAGCGGAGAAATCTGCCAGAAACCACTTTCAGCAAATAATCAAGGTCAACTTCACTAATAATAAGTAAGACATGCTGACAGTAGAAATCCTGTGATAGGGTGGATGGAGGACAGCTTCACTGCTGTCATCATCTTCCAAAAATTACAGCCTCAGTTCAATCACAAGATGACACCAATAAACCCAAATTGAGGGACATTAGGTAAAACAATTGATAAACACTCTTATAAAACAATAAGAGCATGAAAGACTAGGAATGACTAAGGAACTGTTACAGACAGAAGCAGACTTGCTAGTAGCTAACTCTATATTCTGAGTCATATTCTGGAACAGAAAAAGAACATTCAGACAAAAGCTGGTGAACTATGGTTGGAAGATGCTAACATAAGGGGAAGCTGGGTGAAGTATATATGTCAATAGTTGCATTTTTTGCAATATTTGCAAACCTATGAACATGAAGTATACCTTCTTTGCACTTTTCTCCCATTACCAGGGCTAATGTGTAGCCTACACTATATTTTAATTCCAAGGCAAAGTACTAATGAAATGTTTGTGGAATGAAAACCTATGATCTGATGATTCTTCTTGATATGGTTGTGACTGAGGAATGATACATTTAGGGCATTTGTCAGGGGGCGCCTGACAGTCAGGGGGCGGCTCAGTTGGTTGAGCGTCTGACTTCGCCTCAAGTCATGATCTCACAGTTTGTGAGTTCGAGCCCTGTGTTGGGTTTTATGCTGATAGTGTGGAGCCTGCTTCAGATTCTCAGTCTCCCTCTCTCTCTGCCTCTCTCCTTCCTGTACTCTCTCTCTCTCAAAAATAAATAAACATTAAAAGAAAAAAAGACATTTGTCAGGGACTCAACTTCCAGATTCTTGCTTTTTAGGCAGGATAGGGAGTAACTCTTTGGAAGTTAGACTCTACTTTGCCACTGATTCTGTTTTTTGTTTTTGTTACTTTGTTATTTGTTTTGAGGGGGGGAGGGGAAGAAGAAGAGAGAGGGAATCTCAAGCAGGCTCTACACTCAGCACAGAGCCCTACACAAAGCTTGATCCCACAACACTTGGATCATGACCTGAGTGAAAATCAAGAGTTGGTCGCTCAACCTACTGAACCACCCAGGCGCCCCACCACTGATTCTGTTTTGAATGAACTGTATGACTAGTAAAGAATAGAATTGCTTCCTTCTGCACTTCTTCAGGTGTATACAAGGTATACACTTCAGGTATACCTCGTAACAATTACAACAGTAAAAGTAATTAGTATTTGCTTAAAGGTCCTTACTCTCAAAAAGAGTAAGAGCTAGCATTAAGTAAAATATCAAAGAGATAATAGATGCTTAAGCTTAGGAGCACAAACGATGAATTTTATTTAATTACAAGTGCTGCAACCTAAGTATACTTTCCTTTTCTCTTCCAAGTTCTTTAACTGCTAAAAATGCCCTTACAGAGACTACTCATGTAAAATGGGATTAACTAGTAACTTATTAAACCTACCTGTCAGTTGATATGTCCTGTATGGAGCCTTTGAAATGATGTTTTTGAGAGTTTATTTACAATCACTGAAAATAGCTGGCTCTATAAAACATACAAGGAATTACAGGCTCCTTAAACTTACAACATATATATTTGAACATTTAAATAGAAGCTCATTTTTTCAAAAGCAATTTTCTACATTCTCATAAAAATATAAAAAAGACAACATTCATAGTTTAAAAACCCTTATTTAGTCCAAATCAAGATTTTTCTACAAATGATACCTCTTCCCAAAAGCTTAAAAGACATCCCAGAATGATGTCATGCAAAACTAAGTAATTTCACCACAGCAGAGTATTTCACGTGTAAGAAAGATTGTGCAATATTTCCTTTTAATCTTTCAGGCTACATTTCAACTGTGTTATGCTATGTAAACACACGAGGTTAATCCAAGTCATTCATATTTTCACAGTAGACTGCCATGTATGAGCAGCTGCCATATACATGGTCAAATCACAATCACAAAAATGGTAAAAGGCAATCTTTATGAACGCTTACACAAACTTAATAAAAGGCAACCAACATCGTCCTAGTTTTCAGTAAAAACTACCTTTCTCCCTCCCTCCTCTTCTTCTTCTCCTACCTTCTATAGCATAGTAACACAAAGATATTTATACCACTTTTACCTAAATTAGAAGTGACTCTTTTTCTGATACACACAAGTTATCAAAAGGCACCAAGATTAGACTTCTAAGTAGTTTCAGAATTTTAGTTCCTTTTTAGGTTCCTCTAGATTGATTTCCCTCAGAAAACAGTAACTCTAAGAACCAGGAGAAAATGAATAATGTGACACAGTAAGTGGACACTTGTACCACTGAAAAGGCATAAATATATTAACAGGTTCCTTGAGCTTTTCATTTAAGATAAGGAGCCAGAATAACTTTCTGAACATAAACATAAAAATAGAGCACACTTATTAAGAGGAAAACTCCCAAGTTCAGAGTAACAAGGTGTTAAATCTTACATAATAACACGCGGCCAAAAGCATTAGAAATTCTCGGCCAGGTCCTGGAGTGCATCGTCCTAACAATGCCTGATGCACAGTGCTAACATGTGACAAAGCACGGCATTTACTTCACAGGGAGAAAAGAAAAGTTGCATCACAAAAACAGATTTACTGGATTCAGCTTTGATTAAGTTTCAGAGATACAGATTAAAGGTAAAAAAGAAAAACAAGATTTACCTTTAAAATAAAAAAGAATCTTATATATATACATATATATAATCCATTATTAATACTCTTTATGCTTTTATGATGTGTAAAACAGTTAGAAACTTCTCAACTCTAGAAACGCTGACTGGGTAACCTATTTGGCCTTAACATAATCTAAGTTCCCTTTCGAGAATCGCATTAACGTTCCCCGTCCGGCAGTCCAAGAGGGATGGAGAAATTCTATTTCTTTTTCTTCTTCTTTGGTGGTTCATCCTCGGAGCTGCTCTCTGTGCTGGTGCTGCTGCTACCGGAAGAGCTGGAATCTGAGTCTGACTCAGAGGATGAAGAAGAGCTCGTGGAGGAGGAAGAAGATGAGGAACTGGAGGAGCTGTCATCGGTGTCACTGTCCTCTGAGGAGGATGAGGTAGACGTTTCTTCACTGTCGGATGAAGAGTCGCTGGCTGAACTGTCACTGCTGTTGCTACTGGAACTGGTTACACTCTTAGACCTGTTAGACAGCAAGGAGGTACGCGCGTGGGGAGCGGACAGTGAACAGAATGTCGACAAGCAATTTCAGGTACGTGCACACACTGAAGCTCGGCTAGCGTGTGATCCCTCCATGTGATGCGTCGCGGACGGAACACCTAGTAATCCTGCGGCGACCCCAGGTTTTACGTAAGCAATGTAACTCTCATTGCTAGAGTTCAAGAGCAGTGTCGCTACTGTTCCTATGCTCCGGAATGAATCACGTTAGAGGAAAGTTGCAATGTAACAGTTGGGTTTATTTAAGCCCCAGGGAGCCCGGTAAATGTTTCATAATCTTTACTTTGAACCGGATGTAGCTGGCCAACAAAAATTTTTTTTTAACCAGTCTAATAACATTTCCTATTCTAAGAGAATAAGAGATATTTCTAAGAGAAAATATTTACTACTTCCAGGTATACTCTGGAAAGTTGGAGAAAAAGGAGAAATGAAGGCAATAAATTCCAGTCAGGGAGAGAGAGGAACATATCTGAAAATGGGATGATACTTAATCATGAAATACAGACCAGAGACTTCAGATCCAAACTTTATCAGTAGTGTTTTAAAATCACTCTTCCCATCCCACCAACTGGGATTCTTTATTATCTCCATAATACTACTAAAGCCACACTTACCTTTTTTTCTTCGTCTTTCTTTCTACATTAGTTTCTCCGATGCTGATAAACATGAGGAGGAAAAAAGCTTCTGTTAATAGTGATTATACAGCTCAGGCAAATCCTTCAGCTCTCCCCAAAACTGTTTTACATTGGAGAAACACTTTGTCTTTTGTGACATGTACTGAGTCCAGCATTTTCTTGTTATAACCAATAAGTATGTTCCCTACTGTAGGCTGCATATGATACATGCAGTCAACTTAATCAGTACTTAAAAGGTAAGATAGATGTTATCAACTGTATCTTAGAAGCCAGGTAAGTTGGTGATTAAGAGGACTGAGGGCACCAATTTGATTCTTTTTTAGTTTTGAGTTAAGGTTGACATGGCTAAATCAACTACGTATCGAATAACCAAACAGCAAAACAGCAACTGTTATTTATAATTTCAGTCTCCAGACTTATAAATTACTATTTCATTTAAAAAAAAAAAAAAAAGGAAAGCAACATTTAATTTAAAATAACCATTTCCAGGAGCAGCTGGGTGGTTCAGTCGGTTAAGCATTTGACTTTGGCCTAGGTCATTTTCTCGCGGTTCATGAGCTTGAGCCCCACCTCAGGCTCTGTGCTGACAGCTCAGAGCCTGGAGCCTGCTTCAGATTCTGTGTCTCCTTCTCTCTTTGCCCCTTCCCTGTTCACACTGTCTTTCTCTCTCAAAAATAAATAATAAAAACATTAAAAACAAACAGGTCTATAAAAAAGCCATTTCTGGGAGTGCCTGTTGAGCCTTGAACTTCAGCTCAGGTCATGATCTCACAGTTCATGGGTTGGAGTCCTGCATGGGGCACTGTGTAGACAGTTCAGAGCCTGTAGCCTGCTTCAGATTCTGTGTCCTTCTCACTGCCTCTCCTCTGCTCACGCGCTCTCTCTCTCTCAAAACTATATAAACATATAAAAAAATTAAAAATAAAATAACCATTTCTAGGGCACCTGGGTGACTTAGTCAGTTGAGCGTTTGACTTTTGATTTTGGCCATAATCCAAGAGTCATAACATGGAGCCTTGCATTGGGCTCTGCACTGGGCATGGAGCCTGCTTAAGATTTTCTCTCTCTCCCTCTGACCTTCTCCCCCTTTCACTCTCTCTCTCTCTCTCTAACAAAAAAAATTAAATAATAAAATAAAAAATAAAATGAAATCAAATAGCCATTTCTTTTTCTTCATGTCTCCTACATGTTCAGTTATTTACTATTTTATTTATTTATTTAAAAAATTTTTAAGTAGGCTCCACTCCCAGCGTAGTGCCCAACACGGGGCTTGAACTAATGACTCCCAAAATCAAGACCTGAGCTGAGATCAAGAGTTCGACACATGGGGCACGTGGGTGGCTCAGTTGGTTAAGCGTCTGACTTCGGCTTAGGTCATGATCTCACAGTTTGTGGGCTCGAGCCCCACGTCAGGCTCTGTGCGGACAGTCGGCTCAGAGCCTGGAGCCTGCGTTGGATTCTGTATCTCCCTCTCTCTCTGACCTTCCCCTGCTCATGCTACCTCTCTCTCTCTCTCTCAGAAATAAATAAAACATTAAAAAAAATTAAAAAAGACTTCGACACTTAACCAACTGAGTCATCCAGGCACCTCCAGTTATTTACTATTATTATAACCAGACATTTAATACTTCAAGACTGTGTTTCCTCACATTATTTATAAAGAACAAAGTCTGATGACTTTTAAAATATACAAATGGTTTGCTGCTATATTTCTGCCAAACATGCATATTAAATCAGGGTTTCAAATTACGTAATTAATTCTATTACTATAACACTGTCCTGTAAATTTAACATTTTTATATTCTTGACTTCTCTGTATTTTCTAGATAATGTTTTTCTCCTTATTTCCTGAGTCCTCAAATATATATATGTATTTATGCAAAATTGCTTTACATAATGGAATTACTACTATTTTCACGGTAAAATAAGTGATAGGAATACGTTTATCAAGTCACACCCCAAGAATTCATGATCACTGAGATTCATATACTTTTATCATTTTGTCAATGAATCAAAAATCAGTTTTTATAGAATACATCCATATCTAAAATTCATGTAATTTTATGTATTTTTATTTAACACTTACTTATTTATTTTGAGAGGGACAGAGGGGGCAGCCAGAGGGAGAGAGAGAGAATCCCAAGCAGACTCCACACTGTCAACACATAGCCCGATGCAGGGCTAGATCTTACCAACCATGAGATCATGACCTGAGCTGAAATCAAAAGTCAGACACTTAACTGACAGAGCCATCCAGGTGCCTCTAGTTTTATGTATTTTTGAGAACAAGAGGGGCTCAGTTAGTTAGGCGTCTGACTTCAGCTCAGGTCATGATCTCACGGTCCATGGGTTTGAGCCCCACATCAGGCTCTGTGCTTATGTCTCAGAGCCTGGAGCCTGCTTTGGATTCTGTGTCTCCCTCTCTCGCTGTCCCCTCCACCACCCCCACCCCCGCCATTCATGCTCTATCTCTCTCGCTTTCAAAAATAAATAAACATGAGACATTTAGTTGTTAACAAATTCTATAAATAAAAATACTCCTTGGGAGAGTGCCTGGATGGCTCAGTTGGTTGAGCATGTGCCTCTTGAACTCAGCTCAGGTCTTGATCTTGTGGTTGCGGGCTCAGACTCTGCATTGGGCTCTGCCCCGGGTGCGAAGCCTCCTTAAAAAAAAAAAAAAAAAAAAGAAAGAAACTCCCACATGTAAACTTACCTTTGTTGTAATAATAATAATCTGTTTTCTTTTTCTTTTAAAGCTTTCTTTAGTTCTGCTGTTCTTGAAGGCCTGTGTAGGTATTTTCTTTTTCCTGTGCATTCATAAGTCCAATGTCCAAATTCTAGGCACTTCTGACATCTTACATGTTGCTTATTTGCTTCACTGCAGAGCAAAAAAAAAGAAAAAGGAAAAAGGAAAAAGGAAAGAAAGGAAAAAATATAGGCAATAAGATTTTGACTTGACATTTTCTGTCCTGAAAAATATACACAATATAAACTTTTTTAAGGTCAAAAATAAACATAAGTATACACTTTAAATTGTTTATTATGTTAGATTTAGTTACAAGGCAGTATAGTAAGTAGTCAAGACCATGGACCTCGGGAGTTAGAACTCAATTCAAATCTTCATTCCTCAATTCCAACCTACTAATGGCAGAATAAGTAACTCAGACCAACTCCACAGCTCAGAAATAGAAAAGACAATCAAAACATTGTTAACAATCTGCTTGAGGCATCAGAGAACTAATGATGGGATGAAGAATAACCAAGCCAAGATATGGAAGAAAATGGAAATCTAGAGCAGTCAGCTCTGTATTTAAGTCAATTCTCGAGCTGGGAGTATGTGCCCAATGGGGTAAACCACCCTTATAACAAGCTAGGGAGATGAACTATGTATCCAGGGTTAGGTCTCTAAAGAGTTATATTCTAAGAATAAACCAAGTGTACATGGAATACAGCTCAGCTTCTAGTCATCAAGAAGAAGAAAAATCCCAATCCCATAATCCCTGAAATAGGATTAAGATGCAGCAAGTAAAGACAAATAGATGAAAGAATTGGAAAGGAAAAAATAAAAAGGTCATTCCTCACCAATGACATATTATGTACATTACAAATCCAGAAGAATCTACAGGTATAGTATTTTGAAATAATTATAATTCATAAGATCAGCAAGATTTTAGATTGGGGTCAGCAAACTTTGTAAAGAGTTAGATAGTAAAAATTTTAGGCTTTGCCGATCAGGAGGCAAAATTGATATTATGTAGGTACTAACATAACAAGAGAGAGAACCTAAATCCACAAATATTGTATTAATAAAAATATTCCACATAAAAGAGGTTTACTAGGGAGAAGAATGGAATTCTTTTCTAGAAGATAACATCAGACTCATTTGAGGTTGAAAGTTAGTGTTTCCCATTATCCAACTGATGATACATATATACATGTAATTAACATTCTTATTTTTAATTGAGAGAGGGTGCAAGTGAGTGAGGGGCAGAGAGACAGAGAAAGAGAGACAGAGAGGGGAGCAAAGCTTGTGTTCACCTGAAGTGGGGCACAAGCTCCCTAATGTGGGTTAGATCATGACCTGAGCCAAAGTCTGGTGCTTAACTGACTGAGCCATCCAGGCGCCCTGTAATTAACATTCTTGCAAGCCCACCAATACAAACAGCACGTAGGATTCAGCTGACAACTGTTTGCTGAACTCTATTAGATACAAGGTAAATACATAAAAGTCAACAGAATTTCTATACAACAAAAACAGTTAAGATGACATTTTAAAAGGTGATATTCATAATTTCCTGAAAAAATACCAAGTACCTAGAAGTAGAAAGAAAATATGTACAAGAGTTCTTTGCACAATATAAACATTATGAGAGAAATTAAACATCTAAGTAAGTAGCTACATGGAAAAATACAATGTTCACAGACTGGAAAACTCAATAATTTTAAAATGTCCATTCTCTACAAACTGATCAATAGATTCAAAGCAATGCTGATAAAAATCAAAACAGGTTTTTGTTTGATTTGCTAACACTTATTCTAAAATGTATACAGAATTCAAATGGCTAAGAGCCAGAATGCCCTTGTAAAGGTACAAGTGGAGAAGACTTAGATTAAAAGTCACTGACTTATGATACAGCTATACCAATTAAAAATATGAAATTGGAGCAAAGATACACAAGCCCATGGAACAGAATAGACTGTCCAAAAATAGACTAATCTATATAAGAGCACTTAATTTATGACAGCCATGGCACTAGAGAGCAGGAGGGAAAAGACAGATTATTAATTGTACAGGGACCACTGGTGATGCATATGGAAAAAAATGAGACTTTACGCTCTACCATATACAAACATTGATTACAGACTGGTCAAATAATACATGTTTTACAAGATGGTATAAAAAAAAGTGACATGGCGGGGCACCTGGCTGACTCGGTTGGAAGAGTATGATCTTGAGGCCCCATGCTGAGTGAGGAAATTTAAAAAATAATAAACAAATAAACAAACAAAAAGTGAAACCGGTGTCTGGCTGGCTCCGTTGGTTACGTGTCCCACTTTGGCTCAGGTCATGCTCTCGTGGTCTGTGAGTTCCCCACGTCCGGCTCTGTGCTGACAGCTCAGACCCTGCAGCCTGCTTCAGATTCTGTGTCTCCTTCTCTCTGTCCCTAACCCCGCTCATGCTCTGTCTCTGTCTCTCAAAAATAAACACTGAGAATAATTTTTTTTTATAAAAAAGGAAAAGAAAACTATTTTTCCTGAATCATTTTTAAGTTGCCAACCTGAAGACTCATCAACTCAGAATATTTCATTGCATATTTTCTATAAACTAGGATATTCTCCTAGGTAACAATGTAACCATGAAAATCAAGAGATTAATATAGATACATTCTTACTACTTAATCTTCAAACCCTTACATTTACATGTCACCAAATACCCCAATAATGTTCTATATAGCAAAATCCAGTTCAGCATCTATGTTGCCTTTGTCAAGTCTCCTTAGTTTCCTTCTGTCTAATGAGTTCCTTAGTCGTGTCTTGCTTGTTACGACTATAACAGTTTTGAAGAGTACAGGCCAGTTATTTTGTAGAATGTACTTCAATTTGCGTTGCTTTCAAGCTCAGTAATGCGACTATCAGTAGGAAGCTTCAGCTCCCTGGCCTGCTGTCCTCTCCACAGACAGGTCTGCCCACAACATGGTTTTCCCCAGAGGGGGTGACCAAGGCAACTTAAGTAAGCAGTCATGGTTTTTTATAACCTGATCTTGAAAATGGCATACCATTACCTTTGCTGTACTCTGCTGGTCACACAGACCAACCCTGGTATAATGTGAGCGGAGGCTACACCAGAGTGTGAATGCCAGGAGACTGGGATCATTGGGGGTTATCTTAGAGGTCAACTACCACATCGGATATTTCTGCACGATTAGAGTCAAGCCATGCCTCTTTGGCAGGAATGTAACAGAAATGGGCTGTGTCCTTCTCACTGTATTCCTACCAGTGATACAAGACAGCAATTTGTCTTATTACTGATACTATGCACTTTGATTCCTTGATGAAGGAGGGCTACCAGAGCTTGCTTTGTAAAGTTACTTTCTGTCCTTTTTTAACTGTGGTGGTTTTAAATGATGGCCACAAATTCTTTCATACTTGTCACTTCAAAAAGTGAAGCCTTAATTCTCCTCCCTTTGAAGGTGGCTTAGACTTAGCATCTTGCTTCAACCAGAATAAAGCAGAATGATGGTGTGACTTTGAAGATTAAGCCATGCAGCTGCCATATCACGTAGACACTGAAACAGCCTCTAGGGAGGCCATGTGGTGAAGATCTGAAGCCTCCTGCCAAGAGCCCTGTGAATGAGCCATATTGGAGACAAATCCTCCAGTCCTGATCAAGCCTTCAGATGACTGCGGCCACTAAATTCTGGGGCTCCTGGGTGGCTCTGTTGGTTAAGCATCTAGCTCTTGATTTTGGCTCAGGTCATGATTTCACTGTTTGTGGGAATGAGCCCTATGTTGGACTCTGTGATGATGGTGCAGAGCCTGCTTCAGATTCTATGTCTCCCTCTCTCTCTGCCCCATACCCGCTCATACTCTGTCTCTCTCTCTCTCTCAAAAATAAACAAACATTTAAAAATAAATAAATAAATAAATAAATAAATAAATGAAAATTAGGGGGGCATCTGGGTTGCTCAGTGGGTCAGGCATTCAACTTTGGCTCAGGCCATGGTTTCAAGGTTTGTGAGTGAGCCCTGCATCAGGCTCTGTGCTGACACCTCAGAGCCTGGAGGCTGCTTCAGATTCTGTGTCTCCCTCTGCCCCTCCATTCTCTCTCAAAAATAAACATATTAAAAATTAAAAAAAAAAAAAAGAAGTCACTAAGTTCTGGGGTGATTTGTCACACAGGTGTAAGTGAAAACAGATATAACAGTATTTTGTGGGTTGGTATTTCAAAGTACATAAATTTCTTGCCCACTAAGTTTTTAGTTCATTTGTTCATCTATCAGTATGAACTCATATTTTTCTATTTTATTCAATGAGGTATAATTCGTTACATGATTTATTTGGATACTCAGACTGTCCTAGATGTGGTCAGTGGAAAGGAATCTTTTCAAGCTGGATTCTGTGTTCTTTTGACATGGCTTCTTCACTTTGGGGGTACTTCCTTGTTTTCTGGTACAACAACAAAAAAAAAATTCAGGCTCATCTACTTTCCCTGTCCGAGCCTGTAATCAGACTGATAGAGCCCTGATGATATTTAGAGTCACATTTCTCTTTCCACTTGGGCTCTGACACCTCATACCAGTTATACCTCCCTTTCCCTGTATGGATATTCTCTCCCTTATGATGACAACTTATGCTAAATTGCTCCTCTGTGTGGATACCTTCCTCACCTTGCTTGGGATCTGATACCCAACACTGGACCTTCCTCCTTCTTTTGGGATCTGACATCTTACACTGGTCCTTTCCCCCAGTGCATGCCATCTACACCCTGCTGACGCTACAGATCATGTCACACATCTATGTAGATGCCCTCCTTACCCGACTTCAGCTCCAATACTCCAGTGCCAAGTCAACCCTCTGCATGGAAGCCTAGCTTGCTCTACACTACTTAATGGCTTTACGGGTGACTTGTTCAAGAAGTGAAGAGGAAGAACTAAAGAATATTCATAACAGCATAATTTGTAATTTCCTCAAAACTGGAAATAACATTGAAGTAGAATGGACAATTTGTGGTACAGAATACAGTGAAATACTTCATAATATTAAAAATGAACAAACTTCACAGTTTAACATATAAGAATCTTAGATTTAAGAAGCCCAATTATTCAAAAGAATTCAAATTGTCTGATTCTGTATAAAGTTCAAAGGCAGGCAAAATTA